CCTGATCACTGCACAGCCTCCTAGCCAGTCTCCCTGCTGCCTGCCTCTCTCCCAGCTCATCCCCATCCACCCTTTATTCAGAGTAAAGCGCTCAAAGCGCAAGTGTTAGTTGCTCAGTTATGTCTGACTTTGGGACCCCATGGACTGTAGCCTGCCAGGCTCCTCTGTCCATGGGATTCTCCAGGCAAGAATACTGGAGTGGGTGGCTATTCCCTTCTCCAGGGCATCTTCCCGACCCAGGGATTGAAGCCGGGTCTCCTGCATTACAGGCGGATTCTTTACCGTCTGACCACCGGGGAAGCCCATTCAGAGTAAAATATGTTCCTAACACATAAATTGGATCCCATCAACCCTCCTGCCTTATAACTTTTCCCTGGATCCCCGGTACTTTGAGAATAAGACCCAAGCTTCACAAACTGGTCACAAAACCCTATGTGACCTGGCCCACCTCCCAGACCTTGTTGGTACCTCCCCCTGCTCCCTCATGGAGCTCCAGCCTCCAGCTGTGGCCTTTTGTCTCTTCTGGTGACAATGCTGAGATCATGCTGACCTCAGGGCCTTTGCACCTGCTGTCTCCTCTGCCTGGAACAGCCCTTTCTCCAGAGCTTCACCAGGCTGGTTCCTTCTCTTCCTGTGGGCTCAGCCTAAATGCTTCCTCTTCTGAGAGGCAACCCCCTCCATAGCCTCCTTTCTGTCAAGTGCATCCCAAGCCTGTTTGCTCCCATCACAGGGATGTTGCTGCTGGTCATCCTGCATTCCTTTGCTGGCTTGTCGCAAGTGCAGGGACCTTGTCTGAAGGGCTTGCTGGGCAAATGCTGTTAGGTGTGTGCTCAGTCGATCAGTCGTGTCTGACTCTTTAGGGCCCCATGGACTATAGCCCCTCAGACTCCTCTGCCCATGGAATTTTCCAGGCAAGAATACTAGAGTGGGTTGCCATTTGTTCCTCCAGGGGATCTTCCCCACCCAGGGATCGAACCCATGTCTGCTGCTTTGGCAGGAGGATTCTTTATGATTAGTGCCACCTGGGAAGCCCCCAGCATTTGATATTCCCCCAATAAACTTCTGTTAACTAAATGAAGGAAAGAGTTCCCTCACCACTCCCATCCCAGAAGAGGTAAATACGTTCTAGGGATGCCCCCCACTCCAAGAACTGGCATGGTGTGGGCACTGCCAGACCCTCTTCCCTCTTTCTAGTGTCCTGGTCCTCCCGATTCCTCATGAAGAGCTGTCTAATGGATTCTTAATTTCCCCTGTCACTGTGGCAGGGGCATAGGCATCAGGATTTTCATACATCTGTTCATTCATGCCTGCGTTTATTCTGAACTTCCCGGCCGCCTGAAGTCAGAAGGCCTGGGCCTAGATGTGACCCCTGCCACCAATCCACTGTGTCACTTTCGTCAGATCTCGGCTGCACCCTGAGCTCAGTTTGTTCCCGTGCAGAAGCAAAGGTGGGGGTGGCGGACCGATGGACAAACTCCTCACCGCCATCAGAAAGGCCTTGGGAATGCGGTCCAGCTGGGGTCCGGATGGGCTACAGGATGCCCGACTCCAAGCTGGAGCAAAACTTGAGTCTTGGCTTCACAGCGAGGAGATGACTGTCGGTTTCCTGCTGGCCTGTGGTCTGTGTCCAGCCCCAGCTGGTGTCTGGGAATGGAGGGAAGCGGGACAGGAAGTGAAATCTGGGTCACCAGCCCACCCAGCCTCCCTACTCCACCACCCACGTTCCCAGGCTCACTCTGCCTGCCTCTGAACTGAGCCTCCTCGCAGACCACGGAGGTGGCCCAGGCCCCGTGCAGTATCGTCGCCGTCGAGGGGAGGAGCAGGGAGCCAGGGCAGGAAGTCGAGCCTACTTCCCAGAAGAGGCCCCGCAGCTCTTCCCAAGCGAACAGAATGCAGAGAAGCCAGCGTTCCCAAGTTCAAGGCCAAGGCAGGGCGGAGGTCCCCGCAGAGGTGGGTCTGAGGCTGGGGTATGGTGGGAACAATGATGTGCTTTTGGCAGGCCTAGAAGATTTTTCCTTTCTGGCACTTTAGGCGGATGCCTTCCCCCTCCCCCACCTCCTGCAGGGAACTTCCTCAGGCCAGGGACCAGCAAAATCTGGAAGAATCTGCCTGGAAGCTGATTTCCCTGGTTTCTGTCCCAGAGGTCAGTTCTGTATCCCCACTCTGATCCCAATACAACAAAACAGGATGGATGAATTCCCCTGATGTTCTAGGGACAGGCAAGTGTTTTCCACGGTATGACACTCTCTCCTACGGACTTGATCTCACAACCTTCCCCCTTTCAAAGACAAGTGGTTTATGAAGCTAATTCATACTAACATGTGAACAACTGCCTGCTGACTTTCACCTGCCCTGTGTATTTGACTATGAATTCCTAGAGCTCAGGGACTTTTTTATTCCTCCTCATGGTTGCAGTGCCAAGTACAAGGCTTGGTACAGAGTTGTTGTTGTATGGATAATCATAAAGAAGACAGCAATAATAAATCATAACAGCCAACAATTACTAAATGTTTTCTAAATGCCACACAATCAGGTAAGGGTTTTATGTATGTTACCTTATCTCATCTTCACTTTGTGTGATAGGTACTGTACTTATTCCCATTTTACAGAGGAGGAAACTGAGGCTCGGGGAGGTAAAATAACTTATTCAGCAATCTAAAGCGGTGGAGGTAATGTTCAAATCAAGGCAACCTGACTCCCAAATGCACATTCTTAATGGAGTAAGCTGGGTAATTCGGACCAAGGTTAATTAGGCTCGATCTGAAGTTCTTCTTTTATAAAACACTCAAGACCTCTTCCCAAATGTCTCTAATGATGAATTTTAGGCTTCCATGAGTGTGGGTTTTTTTTTTTTCAGGAAGTCCCCAAATCCCAATCAGAGTGATTTGGGAGAGGACCAGAAGATGTCAATGGATGTGGTTTTCCTTCCTACCTTCTGCTCCCACCTGCCTGGTGAAAATAAGGGAGCCTCTGGGATGCCCAGCTTCAGGGTGGGCCTGGAGAAGACTCAGGGAAGCCAAGCCTTTGCTGGAGGGCAGGGAGCCTCACTTTGGGTTCTCTTGAAGCCCCTATTTTTTCAGAGGTCCCCTGTTTGCCCTTCTCGTGGCTCGCGGCTCCTCAGCGAGCGGGCTCACTCTGCACAGGTGTTCGACTCTCCCATCAGACGGTGCGTTCCACAAGACCAGGATCTGTAGTTCTGCGGGGGTCCCCAGGCAGGAACACAGGGCCTGCTGCTATTTGTTGGGAGCTGGCCCTGGAGCCCAGTGGTCCCTCCCAATTCCAGCCCTCTCTGCAGCCTCGAAGCTGGGAGGAAGGTCACAGCCAGGATGGCGTTCGCCTAGACTTCTCTTTGGAAGGGAAGCCCTCATAGAAGAGACACAGCCGCAGGACATGTGTACCTGCAGAGGCTGCCACCGGCCACTCGCCACAGCCTCCACGCTCATCTCCATCACCTGGGTCCTGGCTCCCCTCCTCCAGGAAGCCCTCCCTGGCGAGCCCCACCCACATGCCCTTTTATACCGCTCACTTGGGTTCCAGGAACCTCGGGGCAATCACAGCTCTGGGGAGAAGACCAGAGAGCAAGACTCAGGCATCTCTAGAGTGCAGAACTGGACTTCCAGTTCCAGATCATGGTTTCTGTTCTCTTCTCCCCTCTTCTTTTTACGAGAGACTCTCTCAGTCATCCTTGCTTTTCTTTTTCTCCCTTCTTGTCTCTCCTTGCCTTATTCCCCTCTTCCTTCCATCTCCCCCTCATTTTCTTCCTTCACTCCAGCACTGTTTCACGGAAGACTTGAGGCCACTTTTGCCTTCAGCCCACCTCCAGACCGCTGGGCATTCAGACCGGCCCGAGGTCTGCTCACTGGGTTGCATAGCACAGCGCCAGCCTTGGGTGCTGTGGGCCTGCCTCTGGGCTGAGTGTCGGGGCAGGGCGGCCTCGCCATGACACCCAGCAGCCCCACCCTCATCACCCACCCTGCTGGGCCAGCGCTGGAAGCAAGACACCGCCACCCCCCCCCCAACACACACACAACTTCCTCGCTGCAAGTGCAGGAAGGAGCCCAGGGGCCAAGGACAGAGCCCTGGAGTAGGCGTCTCAAGACTGCAATCCCTGAGCAGGTGGCCCCAGCGGTATCCCCAGGCACAGCTTGCATCCAGCAAATGCTTGTTGAGTGACTGAATGAAAGCCACAGACTGAAGTCCTGGCTGACTGCCTCCTTTCAGAGACACCCCTTCACCTCTCTGAGCCTCAGGACCCTCGGTTAAAATGAGGAGGAATTGCCCGGCCCTGTCTACCCCCTCAAGGCAGCTGAGAGGAGCAGGTGTGATGGGGCCTTCAGCAGTAAAGCCCAGGCCGGCAGGCTGTGTGGGTGATGGTGGCCTGTGCGGGGCCCCTTCTTTGGGGCTGGAAGAGGCTCGAATGCTCTGGGCTGAGTGGTCCTGAGGAAGTGATCTGAGGAGCATGAGAGAACTTCAAGGTTCTGCGAGGGGGCCCCGCCTTCCTCCCCGGCGGAATCCTAGCAGGGTCTGCCCACCGTGCCCCAGCCATCCTTCAGCACCAAGCCTCCCTCTGTCCCGGCCCGCCCAGCACAGGCAGGCCAGTGCCACCAGGAGGGTCCTTATGAACTGGGCTTTCAAGGGGAGCTGGTCTAAGGAGAGACTGAGCCAGCAGCTTCCGGGGTGGGCAGGGGCTGCCTCGTGCCTCCGCCCGGGACTCAGAGCCGCTCAGCTCTGCCGTTTGCCAGCTGTGTGGCCTGGGAACAGTCGCTTCACCTCTCCGAGCCTCAGCTGGCTCATTTCTCGCTTGGCAAGTGCCCTTGCCTTGGCAGCTGAGTCATGAGAGTCCGCAGAAGAGGAAGGGGAACCTGGCAGGCAGAGGAGCTGGGTGATGGTGGGCGTCTGCTTGGCTCGGGGGGTGGGGGGCCCATCCACGCGCCGCTCCCCCTACCCCCAACCCCCGCCGCTCTTCCGCCCCGGTTCAGCCAGATGGTAGGAGCAGGAAAATGCCGCTGAGCTGCAGCTCCTGGTCTATTTTGAGAAGCCTCCTGTTTCCTCTGCTGCCTGGGGCCATGTGGTGGCTTCAGGTCTCTGCTCACGGGAGGGGCTCCGAGCCGGACCTTGTCCTTCCTCGGTGCCTCACCCCCAGCCCTTTCCTTCCACGTGGCCTGAGCCCCCACGTCCTGACTCCCAGCTCAGGCCCCACAGCTTCAGCCAGGAGGGGCAAAGGTCAGGTGCCCAAAGGGGGCTTTGCAGTGGGGGTTGGTCACTTGTTGGCAATATGGAGAACGTGGGGAACTGGGGTTGGCCTCCCCATTGTCCGGGCTCAGCCCCTGCCTGCCCAGGCCCCCGCTTCTGCAAGCCTGCCCACCACCCCCATGGCTGTCAGCATCCTCGGGTCCCCAGCAGCAGTTATCACTGCTGGGGTTGAGCACTGGGTGGAGTCATCTGTATTCCCATATGCGGCTTCCTCCAGAGTGACCTCAGAGGCCCACAGAGAAACACAGCCACCCAGAAGGCTGACCCGGCCAGGAGGCCGGACAGTCCACTGGCTTGCTGCGTGGCTGGTCTTAATTACCCCAGTCACCCCGTCAGAAACCTGGGAGCCGCCCTTGCCTCCTCTCCTGCCCCTCCTCCTCCTAGCACAGAGCTCTGACCCTGGTGTGCCACATCCCTCATTTACTAGATCCGTGACCTTTCATCTCTCTGTGCCTCGATTTATTCATTTGTGAAATGGAGCTAAGGAGATCCCCCTATTCATGGGCCTGCGGGGAAGAGATATTGAGTTAATACTGGTGAAGTGCTTAGGACAGGGCTGGACACTTAGTAATTGTAGCTCCTATTCCGTTCAGTTCAGTTCGGTCGCTCAGTTGTGTCCAACCGACTCTTTGTGATCCCATGGACTGCAGCACGCCGGGCTTCCCTGTCCATCACCAACTCCCGGAGCTTGCTGAAACTCATGTCCATTGAGTTGGTGATGCCATCCAACAATCTCATCTTATTATCCTCAATAAATTGTAGCTCCTATTACCCGATTGGCCCACAAAGTCTGCCCACTCCATCTCTTCTACATCACTCCGTCTCCTCTACTGCGGTGCTGCTCCAACTTCTCCCTGAGGCGCTGCCAAGCCTTCTTGCTGGCTTTGCTGCCCCCGTTCTCCATCCCGCTAGAGCCAAGGGCATATTTTTAAGTAAAAAGTCTGATTAGTGCTGTAGAGTTTTGGAGTTAGATTTATTCATTCACCAGTGCCCCCGAAATATTTGAGGGCCGACTCTGTGCTACGGCAGTAACCTAAACGAAGTAGGAAGCTTATGTTCTAGTGAGTGCAAGTCCCAACCATACAACTGGGTGGCATTGGGCAAGTTTTTAAATGCTTAGAACCTTAATTCTGTCATCTGCAAAATGGGACCGTAGAGAACCTGCCCCATGGGCTTGCTGTGCGTGTCAGCAGAGTACTCAGCTCTTCTATCAAAGTATGTGAAATAATTTCCAAGTGGAAGCCCTGGGATGAGGATGGTAAGGATGGTGTCATTCCATTCCTCATAACCTCCCAACATTCATGCTGGACTAGGGCTCTCTGTGATCTGGTCCCAGTGATGCCTTCCCCATCCCCCACCAGCCCTGTCTTTAACATGGTCCTGAGGATACTTTATCTCCATCACTGCTTCCCAAATGACTCAGCCCTTTCACACGCCTTGCTTTTGCACGAGCCCTTCTCCTTTCTTGGAATTTCTCCCTCCCTCCCCTTCTTTTCTTAACCTCTCCCTCCTCTTTTCAGGGCCGTCCCAGTTACCTGCCCCTGCTAGGCAGAGTCTTCCCAGCCTCTCAGGACAAACCCCCCTGGATCTGGGCTCTTCTTGCCAGGTGTTCCTGCCCCCACAATGCCGCTGCCCGTGGTGATCATCACCGCGTGGCCTCAGGTCTATTCCCTCAGCCCCTGGGCAGGAATGCATCACGCTGACCTTGTGCCCTCAGAGCCTGACAATGGCTTGGCGTGTTGGCAGTCATTAACTTTTGGCATATGACTCATCACTGACTTTTGATGAGTGCATTCATGGCTGCCAAGACACCTCTGATGATCAACATCAATTTACCAAGTGAAAGGTGGGATCAGTGTTAGAGATTCTCACACTACTGTAAGGAAAGACCTTGACAAATGCCATCCCCTTGACAAATGCCAGCTGCAACAGAGAAGACCTGAGAGTCTCTGTGTGCGGGAGTAACGGGATATGTTAGCCAGTGTAGACCACACACTCTCTGATGGTGCACACATCCTGGAAGTATGCTCCGTTCACATGTAAGGTTGAGAGGCATGCTCCAGTCTGCATGTGGCTTCCTTCACACAGTGATCAGGGGACCCAAGCTCCCTCCATCTTGAGGCCCAACCATTATTTAGGTCCTTGTTGTCATCTGCACCCAATGGGCAGAAAGAGAAAGTGAGAATGTGAGGAGGTCCGGCTACTCTCAAAAAAATTGATACAGGCTGCCTCTACTCCTGCCCTGTCACCTAAAACCCCATCACATGGCCACGCCTGAGTGAGGAAGGTGGGATCTGGGGACTAGTGTGTGCTGCAGAAGGAGAGGAGGATGTGGATTCGGGTGAATGCTGACCATCTCTGCCAAGGCAACCACCAGTCTGATGCTAGCTCCTGTGTGTGCGCGTGGAGACCAACGGGCAGACCCCCCACCATGGAGGGAGATGGGCTCGCCCGGCTACCCCCACGTGCTGGCATGGACACAGTCCAGACCACGTTGGACTGGAATGACTGGAGCCGTTCTTGGATCCCAGCCCTGCCTGGTCTGTTGGACTACCCATCGGTCAGGGCGGGGGTGGCGAGAGCTCATGGAGGGTGGGAAGGTGGCTCTAGGCCCAGCACCCTTCCTGGGGGCCTGGGGGCACTCTCAGCGTTCTAGGGTCAAATTTTACAGCTGCAGGAGCTCAGACCCTGGGAGGCTGCCCCCTCCTTTCTTCGTGGAATGGGCCGGGCTGGGTCATGGGTAATGTCCCGGACTCTCAGGGGGTCACAGCTGCTTAGAGGACAAATCTCTGTGCCCTCCCCGTACCAGCTGAGGAGCTGAGACCTGGCCTGCCTCCACGGCCAAGCGTGCACAGCTGCGGTTTGAAAGGCCCTTTGGAAGCTCAGCCTCCCTTTCCCCCAAAACTTCCAGCCACCGGAAGCAGAACCAGTCCCCTGGCCAACCCTGCCGGGGTGAGCAGCATGGCTGGGCCAGGACACCTGGCATTCCAGCTGGCTCGGCGACTCCCTGCCCCGCCTCCTGCCCATTCCAACGCCTGGCCCCTCTCAGTGGTCCCACGCCAAGGTCAAGGATTTCTGGAAACCTGAGAAGAGAGGATTCCTATCGACCCTAGATGGTCCAGTGGTCCTCAGCAGGGATGTTCAGAACTCAGTGGGTGCATGTTGTGTGGCTCCAGTGACAGGCGGCCCACTGGCCAAGGATGCTGCAGATTCTGGGCTGGGCAGAAACTTTCCTGTCTCCCATGGGGACTCTCCACGTTCCTGCAGGGCAGTGCTTCCACACCTGAACACAAGGGCCTGGAAACACAGGTCCCTGAGCTCCGCCCCAGCTTCCTGATTCACCGGGTCTGCAGTGAGTGTGTGTTTCTAACAACTCCCAGGTGATGCTGACTCTGAAGTTCCGGGGGCCATACTTCCAAAACCGCTGTTGTGGGGGAAAACCAGTTTTCAAATGTCTGAACCTGGAATATCATTCTGTTTTGACATCTAAATACAAAGTATTTTTTGCCTTTTTATATTTGGTTCATTTTTCCTGATTGCAATTACATTAATCTCTTTTGTACTGTTTACCAGGCTTTTTTCACCAGCTCAGAAAATAGAGACCTCCTTGGCAATGCCACAGGAGGTGTCTGAGTGGCTGATTTAATGCTCCGTGGTGGTCTGCATTTGTAGCTGGGTCATTTGCGGTCATCTCTCAAATGTGTGCCTTTGGTGTCATATCATTACTGAAATAGTTTTGAAATGTCTGTGATTTTAGTATAAAATATTTTTTGTTTCTCCTTTGTATGAGCATTAGAGCAGAATGTGTGTTTGAGTGTGTGTGTGTGTATTTGTATTTTAGTTTAGTGAGTGGGTAGTTTTTTGTTCCCAAGAATTTCATCTTGGGAGGGAAAGGGGATGTTACTAAACATTTACTATAAAAGGAGGGGGGGCACTGCATCTGTCAAATGTTAGACCACTGCTTGAGTCCCACACTGCTTGAGTGGGTGTTAGACCACACCCACCCTGGAGAGAATAAAATACACCCCAGACAGGGAGAGTGATGCGGCACAGTGGCACTGGGAGCCTCTGCCTCTGCTGTGATCCCTGGTTTCATACATTTTCCAGGCAGAGGAGAATGAACCCCCTTCAGAACTTGCAGGGCAGGGTGCCAGGTGTTATGGAGGAGGGAAGCGGGTGTCCTTCGTCCCATTGTTCAACAAAGACTCACGCTCTGGAAGGTTAGGTGACCTACCATGGCTGTTGTGGCATTGGGATTCCAACCTGAGACTCTGGTTCCACAGCCACAAAGAGCTATCGTGCCTCGGTTTTGGAGGATGACATCTTCCTGTCGTATATATGATTCTCTGCTCACGTGGAGGAAGGGCATGGGTGATGCTGTCAACAGAACTGTTTCAGTGCCTGTCCTCAGGGAGCTTACCTTCTTTCTGATGGAGAAGACAGCATGAATAGCTCATTGCCATGTAAATGTTTTGAGGGTGGAGAGGCGAGGAGAGTGTGTCCCGGGGAACATGACCTGACCTGGGAGAGACTGGGAGGGGGTGGAGAGGGCTAGTAGGAGCCAGTAAGTGAGGAGGCAGGAAGGAGAGAGTTCCGCTCCCCAGGAGACGGTGGAAGGTGAGCTGTGTTTAAGAGGAAGGAGGCCAGGGCCTTTGGAGCCCAGAGAGCAAGGGAGAGAATTAAGTGGGAGAGGCGGCTGAGCCAGACCTTGCAAGAACAGGATGGCCTTGGGGTGAGGTTGGTCTTGAGTCTAACAACAGTGAGAAGCCACATGTTAGGGTTGAATCGTGTCTCTCCCTCCCCCGAAGGATGCTGAAGCCCTAACCCCCAGTACCTGTGAGTGTGAGTTTTTACATTTATTTGTTTATTTATTTGGCTGCGTTGGGTCTTGGTTGTGGCACACGAGTTCGTTGTGGCACGTGGCCTCTGGAGCATGCGGGCTCAGCAGTGGGGCACGGGCTTAGTTGCTCCCTGGCACGTGGCGTCTTAGTTTTCTGACCAGGGATCAAACCCGCATCCCCTGCCTTGCAAGGCGGATTCTTAACCACTGGACCACCAGGGAAGTCCCCTGTGAGTGTGATTTTTATTGGAAATAGGCTCTTTGCAGATGAGCAAGTTAAGAGGAGGTCATGAGGGTGGGCCCTCATCCAATATGACTGATGTCCTTTTAAAAAGGAGAGGTTTGAACACAGAGACAGATGCAAGCAGGGGAAAGAGCTTGGAGAGACACAGGGAGGGTTGTGTGCAAGCCACGGGATGCTGGAGGCTCCTAGAAGCCCAAGGAGAGGCCTGGGGTAGATCCTCCTTCACGGCTGGTAGAGGGGACCAGCCCTGCCTCACCCAATCCCAGCCTTATGGCCTCCAGAATAGTGGGACGATAGAGCTCTGTCACATAAGCCCCTGGCTCGTGGTTCTTTGTTATAGCAGCCCCTGGCAACTGATCCAGCATGGGTGGCTAGTAGCAGAGGATGACTGGCATGACTAGCGCTGGTGTTTTGAGATGGTCTTGCTTGGTGTGGCACAGAGAATGGACCTGTAGGGAGACCTATCAGGAGGAGATGATCACTTTACGTTCTACTGACAGCTGATGGCCGGTCGGTGTGACTGGGGCAGGTCGGGGGACAAAGGTTCTCGTGGGAGATGCTCAGAAGACAGAGTTTACAGGGCATGTCAAGGATGAGTCTCAGGATGCCGCCTTCTCTTAAGGGGTGGACAGCAGTGCCAGTCCATGAGATGAGGGGTGACGAGGGCAAGGTTTGAGGGTAAAGATCGTAGTGTGTGTCTGGATCTGAGGTGCTTTTAAGGCATCCAGTGGAGCTGCCGGTTCTGTTCCCCCAGGAAAGTTTGGACCGGAGATAAAGACTAGGCTCTCCTTCCAAGATGTTTCCAGAAGCCTCTGCCTTGGGGACTTAGCTAGAGCGGCTTTGATGGACCTCGGTGAGGGAGAAATGTGTCTTCAACAGATGTTCTCAGCCTTGGTTTCACATTATACTCGTGTGGGGAGATTTTAAAACCCCCGTGTCCAGGCCACATCCCAGACCATTAAACTGGAATCTCTCGGTGGGGGTGGGGATGCAAGTGTCAGGGGGCTTTGTTTTCCTTTTGTTTTTTAGTTTAGCAGAGGGTGCCGTGTTGTAGCTTCACTGTGGGCGTGTCAGGTGAACTGTTTCTGGGAACCCCTGGTGTCACTTTCTTTGGGGTTGTGGGAGTTCCGGAGAAGATTCTTTCAGTTTCCCTGCATCTTCTTTCAGTTGGGAGTGAGCAGGAGGGGCAGAATCCAGGTGGGGTTGCCCAATGGCAAGGAATGGGAAGGGGACCTGTGACTCCACCCGCTTCTCTGTGAATTTTCAACCAAACCCCTTATCTCAGCCCACCACTCCCACTCCCAGTCGTGTCTGGCTCTTTTGCAACTTCATGAACTGAAGCCCGCCAGCCTCCTCTGCCCATGGGATTTCCCAGGCAAGAATACTGGAATGGGTTGCTATTTCCGTTTCCAGGGGATCTTCCTGACCCAGGGATCGAACCCGCATTTCCTGCGCTGGCAGGCAGGTTCTTTACCACTGAGCCACCTGTGAAGCCCTCTAGAGATCCTGGGGGCTGACAATTCCTGATCCTCTGGAGGATTCTGCAGCGCCAATCAGGTTAAATGTCTGCTTTCCCCCAGGTGTTGGTTTAGGATCCAGCCTTCTGGGATCTAAGTCAGCTACAACCTGTCTGGTTGCTGATTAGCAGCAGCCTTTTTCATGCTTTTTTCCCCTCTCCTATTCTCCCTATCCTTGTAGTTTCACAGCTTCAAAACCATCCCTTGACTATCATTTCAGTGTGTTTTGGGGGAGATTCAAAAGTAGATGGATGTGTTTAAGCTTCATCCAGCCAAGAAACGTGTGTGAACACCTTGAAATACAGATCACCTGTTGCCAATGGATCATCAGGAAGGCTCCTGGCTGTATCTAATAGGAAACCCAAGGAATAATGGCTAAAACAAATGTGTTGTTTATCCCACACAAGAGGCTAACTTCAGCAGCTGAAGACTTTTGTTTAGGGGCTCAGCAACGCCAGTGGCTGCTGTGCTTGGCACTGCCTTGTGGGGAGAGAATGTTTTCCCTTCTCCAGCACCTACAGGGGTGGGGATGGGGGAAACTGGCAAAGGAGATGGGATGTGCCGGGTCAGCCATCCAGTGGCATCTCTACTCGCTCACTAGATCGCCACCAGCATCGCGTGGTGGTTAAAAGCATGGCATTTGGAGTTAGGCAAACCTTGATTTAAATCTAGTTCTTCAGTTTCTCAACCGTTTTGAGCCTCAAATTCCCCATGTGTGAAAAAGGGGTGACAGTAGGCCTCACCGAACAGGGGGTTGTGATGGTTGAGTGAAACGAAGTATGTGAACAGTTTAGCCAGGAACTGTCACAAGGCAGAGACTAAACAAATACATGTATGGATGTGAGAGCTGGACCATAGAGAAAGCTGAGTGCCAAAGAATTGATGCTTTTGAACTGTGGTGTTGGAGAAGACTCTGGAGAGTCCTTGGACTGCAAGGAGACCCAACAAGTCCATCCTAAAGGAGATCAGTCCTGGGTGTTCATTGGAAGGACTGATGTGGAAGCTGAAACTCCAGTACTTTGGCCACCTGATGCAAAGAACCGACTCTGAGAAAG